TTGCTATGAGTTGTGCTCGACTTGATGGCAGTCAACAAGAACACCACAACTATTTGTTGCTTGATTATTATATAGTCCATAGAGAGTTGTGCTGCTAACCCAGAATTAGAACCTCTCTGATAGTTCAAATCTAGAAATATGGACAATCTTGTCCCCTTTGATTTACAGCGTCTGAAAACCTGCTGGAGGACCAGCTTTGTGTCAGTTCCAATTTGATGGCAATGAGTGAGTGATGATTAATGCTATTATTACAGAGTAGCTCAGTCAAGCAGTACAAATATTATTATGTCAAAGTCCTCATATAATTTACTAGTGAAGCTTAGAGGTGAATCAGACCCATTACAGGTAGATGGAAAAATAAAATCAGTGTTTGGGGCAGATGGAAATATTGCCTTGCCTTTTACTAATTGTGTGAGTGGTACCAATCATATAACTTTTCTGAACCATGTTTTCTTACTTTTAACAATGTAGATCATAGTCAAGCTGTTTCAAAACAGTAGGGTATTATAAGGATTAAATGACCTGTAATGTGTAAAAGCACTTAACAAAGTATCTATATTGTTGTTATTAGGTGCCATTGAGTTGACAATGCCTCATTGTGATTCTGTGAACAAGAGACCTGAAACTTGCTCTATCCTGTGCCAATCCTATGTTGTTGTTGTTTGGTGCTGTTAAGTTGGGCACAATCCATAGTGACCCTATGAAAAACAAATCTGAATCCTGTTCTATTTTTTCTGTGTCATCCTCCCCATTCCTGACCTGCTTGAGCCCATTGCTGCAATCACAGCATTAATCCATATTGTGCTTTGGGTCTTTCTCTCTTTTGCTGACCATTCACCCTTCTAAGCATGATATCTTGTTTCAAGGAATATAGCCTCTTCTAGTGACATGGCCAAAATATGAGAGATGAAGCTTTGCCATCCTTGCTTTCAAGAAGCACTCTGGCTGTACCTTCTCCAGGACATACCTGTTCATTCTTTTGGCAATCCATAGAATATTCAGTACTCTTCTCCAACATCACAGCTTCCTACACGTGCTCACCAGTTAATGCCAGGAAATTTGGAGAACGTGGCCACCTGACTGGAAAAGATCCATATTTGTTCCCATTCCCAAGAATGGTGATCTAACAGAATGTAGAAATAATTGAACAATATTTTTAGTATCACATGCAAGCAAAATATTAGCTAGAAATGTACAATGACAGGGAACTGCTGGAAGTTCAAGCTGGGTTTAGAAGAGGCTGTAGTACCAGAAATATAACTGTTGATGTCAGAAGGATCCTTGCTGAAAGCAAGGAATACCAGAAGAATGTCTATTTGTGTTTTATTGACTGTACAAAGGCATTAGACTGTGTGGGTTACCACAAATTATGGCTATCATTGAGAAGAATGGGAATCCCAGAACACTTAATTGTGTTCATATGAAATCTATACCTAGGCCAAAAAGTTGTTGTCCAAATGGAACAAGGGAACACCATATGGTTTAAAATCAAGAACGCTGTCTCTCAGGGTTGTATCCTTTCTCCATACATATGCTATCTCTATTCTGAGGAAATAATTTGTGAAGCTGGACTCTATGAAGAAGAACATGGCATTAGGGTCAAGAAGATTCATCAACAACTTGCCTTACACAGATGACACAACCTTGCTTGCTGAGAAAGAGGACCTGAGTGCTTACTGTTGTTGTTGTTGTTATGTGCCGTTGAGTTGTTTGCGACTCATAGCGACCCTATGTACAACAGCACTAAACCCTGCTCTATCCTGTGCCAATCGCAATGCCTCAAACACACTCATCCCGACTACCCCAGTCACTGAATCAATCCATCTCATAAAGGGTCTCCCCCTCCTGCGCCATCCCTCCACCCTCCCAAGCATGATGTCCCTCTCCAAGGACCTTTCCCTCCTTGCAACATGCCCAAAGTATGTCAGACGAAGCCCCAGAATCCTTGCCTCCAAGGAGTTGCTTGGTTTAATCCTCTCCAGGATGAATCTGTTTGTTTTCTTGGCAGTCCATTGTACATTCAGTACTCTTCTCCAGCACCACAGCTCAAAGGCATCAATTCTCCTTCTATCCTCCCTAGTCATTGTCCAACTCTCTGATACATAACAAGTGATTGCAAAGACCATGGCCTGTATCAGGCGCACCTTAGTCTCCAGAGAGACACCGTTGCTCCTCTCCACCAGGCTGATAGTTAACATCATAATAGATGGAGAAAAGATTAGAATTGTTTTTAAAAATAAAATATTGTGCTTTTAATGAATGTTTACAGAGAAGTTAGATTTTTCATTCATTCATTATTGTGCATTTTACCCCTTCGCCCTCCCTGCCCCCTTCCCCATTTCACTTTTTTTTTTTAAAAAATGCTCATTTATTGTTGCATAATTACCTCCCTCCCCCTTACTCCCAGTCCTCTTTGCAATGATCCCCCAGTTCTCTTTGCAATGATATATCTCTTATTCTGGGTTGTTAGTTGTATGTAATTATCTATTCATTTTAGACAGGTCTTTCTTTAATTTGTTCTAATGCAACAGTCGTTATTACATCTTGTTTGGATCCATAGTCAACACCATTGGCACCAGTAGTCAAGAGTTCAGAGTCGTTTTGCATTGGGAAAGTCTGCGGTAAAGGAACTCTTGAAATTACTGAGGGCCCGTGATGTCAATTTGAAGACTAAGGTATACTTCATCCAAGCCGTGGTCTTTTCAATCACTTGCTATGCATCTGAGAACTGGATTGTGAATAAGAATGACAGAAGAAGAATAGATGCTTTGGAGCTGTGATTTTGGAGAAGAGCACTAAATGTCCTATGGACTGCCAAAAGATCAAATAGATAGGTCTTAGAGAATGTGAAGGCCAGGCAGGCAAAGCTTTGTCTCATGTACGCTGAGTGTGCGGCTAGTATGGGTGAATCCTTGGAAAGAGACATCACAGGGAGAGTGAGGAAGACCTCAAGTGAGATGGCTTAACACAATGACTGCAGTGGTCTCAAGTATGTCAGAAATTATGAGAATGGCACAGGACAGGACAGGGTTCAGATCTGTTGTTCATAGGATCGCTATGATTCTTGATTCAACTATGGTACTTGATATGACTATGGTACATGATTCGCTATGGTACTTTATTCGATGGCATGTGTCATGTGATGGATACTCTTGAATGAGAAAACTAGTTGCTTAACTTGTTCTCATGTCTTTTTTGGACACATGAAAAGATTTCCAACCAGCTTGTTGTCTCTGACAGTTACTCTGTTAAGTCAAGTGTATATTCATAAAATGACTAAATATTTGTGAGGAAGTTTTTTCCAATTACAGACAAGCCAGGTAGATGTAGTATCATCAGGGTATTCTAAGAAAAAGAAGGAAGAATAGAATCAGAATTCTTAAAAGGCACACAAAATAATAATGCATCTTTGTATTTAACATAATTAAAAGAAATTATGTTGCTTGTTGTTGTTAAGTGCTGTTGAGTCGTAGGCGACTCATAGCAACCCTATGAACGAAAGACCTGGACACCTGTATCACTTTCGTCCTTTCTCCAGGTTCACAGGGTTTTCAGAGGCAAGCTTCTGCCACTCCTGCTTCCAAGTTTGTTTTAATCGGGGAGCTCTGCCAAACACTGTCCATCATGGGTGGCCATTCTTGCTTTTGACACATCAGTGTCACAGTGTTCAGATTTGCAATAATATCAATATTATGTGTATTTTGCGTATTTCTTTGAGTGAAATTGATATGTGCTAAGAAATGACCAGTTTTCAGTTGGGGAAAATGAAAATGGAGTTAACTTTACCCTTAGAAAATGTAGAAAATGGAATTAATTTTACCCTTTCTGAATGTGAAAACATGCATGCACTGGAAAAAAAAGGGAAAACACATTCATCATTCTAGTTGTTAAAATTTCCACATAAATGAGTAAAATTAGAAAACATTTTTCAAGAGAAAGGAAAAAAGGCACTCACTAAAGCCTTATATTTAAATTCAACACAATACTTTTTGAAATATAATTTATTTGGTATGATAGAGAAAAAAATGCCTTCATACAATAATTGTTTCATAGCAGTAGTTGCTCAGATGTGGTGCATTTCTATTTCCTTGTCCTTCAAAGCCCAGCTGGTATTGATGAAATGGGAAGCTACCAGTGACATCAGGACTGTTGGTGCTTTCTCTCTCTCCCCCCACCCCCCTTATTGAGTCATAAGGAAGAAAAGAAAAAAATTAAGTTGTCTGACTGTGGCTGATCAGAAATCTGAGATCACCTCAAAAGATAGAAAAGAGGACTTGAGGAATTATTAGGTAGTGAACAAATGTTGACACTAACAACAGAATTAATTGTCATAGTGTTAAACTGAGAGGTAGTCTGTGGGTTATAAAAAAAACAGGTCTGGTGCTGTGTGCCAGCAAGCCAGTTCTGACCCTAGATGACAGAGAACTGCCTCACAGGGTTTCCTAGGTGGGAATCTTATTTAAAAGAGCAGGTTGCCAGGTCTTTTCTCTAGAAGAGCCATTGAACGGATTAGAACTGCTGACATTTCAGTAATTGAAAGAGGGAGCTCTGGTGGCCTCATGGCAAGAAGCTGCGCTGTAGGCATGTGGTTCAAGGCCAGCACTAGCTGCTCTCTGGGAGAAGGATGGGCAGTGTCCTCCCATGCAATTACTGCCTCTTAAAACCCGCTGAGGGGAGGGGGTCAGCTATGGGTTGGTTCCAACTCAAAGGTATACAGCAACTGAGCACTTAAACATTGTATCACCAGGGCTCCTTAGACAAAGTCTAGGTCAATACAAAAAGCATAATTTGTGTCCTGAGAGAGTTCAGTGGACATCTGTGTGACCCTGGTGAATTGATTAGCCAAGTGACCCCAGATCTCCGATATGGCCTGAAGCAGTGGCAGTAGGCGTCATTCTTTGAAAATATAAACTTTTACTGACAATGTGTCCAAGAATTGACATGGAGCTGACCGCTGCTGGTGAAGTAGAGGTAGGGGTGATTCTTCCTCTGGCTTCCTTTTAGAAGAGGAGTCTGCTGATAAGGAAGGCAAGCAAGATCTCAAGGGCATCAGTGATGGGGCTGTGGTAAATGCTGGCTCTGCTTGTGGTTGGAGTAGAAGTTCTCGCTGGAGTCTTTGAGGTTGAAGATGAAGTTTTCGCTGAAGTCTTTGAGGTTGGAGTGGAAGTTTTCTCTGGAGTCTTTGAGGTTGGAGATGAAGTTTTCTCTGGAGTCTTTGAGGTTGGAGATGAAGTTTTCTCTGGAGTCTTTGAAGTTGGAGTAGAAGTTTTCTCTGGAGTCTTTGAGGTTGGAGTGGAAGTTTTCTCTGGA